TTCTGCTTGCATAATATACTTCTCAAGACATTGGCGGTGGAAAAGGTGTTCGCAATCTAACACAGCAAACGATTGAAATCGGAATTTTAGGATTACTCTTTGGTAAATACTGCAAGGATTGAGTTTCGGAATTCTGGTGGGGATAGTTGAAATCTCTTGATTTTGAAGATAATTTAATGCAAGTACTTTGAGTTGGGAAGGCTCAGAAGTATCTGTTTGAATTTCTGAAGTGCTGGTTAAAGGTTCACTGGCTATAGTGGCGCTCGAAGGTTCACTAGCCATAGTGGGGAATTGTAGAAATAAAATGCTCTCATGCATTCTTCACACCCGTCTTCTACTTATACAGTTTTCCACTCCTCTTTGATCTGCAGGTGAAATAATAGCCCGAAATTAGTGTGAATAGACGCACCTATTATGCTAAGGATCTGCAGAGATAGTTGTAAAACAAAGAAAATCCCCAATCTTCGTTGTCAATCTAACTTACCGATCACAAATTAAGATTTTGTCCCTAAATGCCCTGCATTAGTGTGAGTACAATCAAATTATCAGCATAAATAATCCTTATCAATTCGTCCATTACAACTCTGCTATCCATATGCGAAGAGTTAATCAAAATAAGCTTTTTATTTGCAATACATTGGATAAATTACAAGTTAGCGACTTTGCTTATGATACAGTTGAAAGGCGCTGATACATGATACTCTATCCTATTCATTGTATCTATTCTATCCACCACCCAATAACCCGCTATATTCATTGTTTTTCATCCTAACCTCCGTTTCATCGAACAAGAACCTTGAAAAGAAACTATGTATTAGTTACAAGCTCTGAAGACGCTGTCTTGCAAATGCTCAACCTAAACCAAAAGTAAACCTACCCTTAATTACGTAATGTCTCGTCCGACACTTCGCTAAGTAACTTTCGTTTCACTGGCACTTTTTCACACTGAGATACGCAGTGAGTATGTCTGTTATATTTGCTTATTTACATAGTTGCAATATTCGTATTTACGGGTTGTAAAATTTCGTTTACCTCAGGAAAGGAAAAAAATTTTTTTGGAAATAATGCGAATATATATATGCCAATCTTATGTCGCACAGCCCTATTCTTTTACCGAATCTCTTCTGCGCATTTCAGGTAATCGATATTACATTATGCTACAATCGAGAATTTGAATTTATTGCTTGAAGTGAAGCAAGTAAGATAATATTCTGTTTCATACCATTCGCCATGTAATTCATAATTCCCATATTTTCCATCACAAATAGGGCATGGTAAGCTCCACGGCTGAGGTGATGCAAAATTATAATTATCAGTCCCTCTAAAACTATTTCGGAATTTTAAGTATGGGAAGTGCTCTAAGACAGATTTGATAATTAACTCTGGATCAGGTCTGGCTTTGAAGGTGATAGACCTTTTTTCTTTACATTGCTTTGATACTTTGTTTTCTGGCATCGAATTTATGACTTCCGATTCATGTACTTCTGATAATTGCCATGGCTCATGCTCAGTTTCTTTTTTATATTTTTTGTATAAGCTGGACCGAATCTTATCCGTCAAAATGCTTGGTAATCCACTTAATTTGGCATGTCAATTCAGATATTCAGAGGTTAGTATTTTATCAGTCTTGAACATATCTTAATTTTATATGATTGCGAGTCAATTTAAATCTCTTTTTTCATATAGACCTATTTATTCGAAAAAAAGATTAAAATTCTCAGATAGATTATCACCCCCAGACTACTGTAAAGCAATGAGACTATGCAACTATCTCAATTTCGCGCTGTTCACATTTAATAAAATAGGATCCAACTTTATATCTACCTTCTATGCTTTCCTCATCATCATGATCTAAACTGCATAATGGGCAAGTCCTT